TCGTTTCCCGAGCGGTATGGCCAGAAAGCGCCCGCCACGGAGCCTGCACTGTAAGGTCCCCGAGCGTGAGCGTCGCCCTTGCATGGCCGACGCTAATGTTTCGTACAGAAGTGTTCGGGTTGTGCCGAAACCAGTGCTGGGCCGCCTCAGCCCCGCGGCCGGCTCCACGACCTTGACGTTCGCTCCGCGGGACCGTCTATAAGAGCGGCGGCTCCGCCAAGCAAGCAGCTGCCCCCCCGGGCTCGTCGGCTGAGCACGAGGCGCTGCCGATGCGGGCTCGGCCTCAGTGGGGAAACCAGAAAGGCACCGATACCGCTACTCTCCAGACCTCTCCCAGGGCGCTTCCTGACCACAATGTCGAGGCGAATCCAGCGGTGACGACGGGGGCCTCCCAGGAGGCCCCCAAATGGGAAAACGGGGGAGGGGCAGCGGCATCGGTACCTGTTCCTCCTCTGACCCGGGGGAGGGGGAGAGGGGTTGGCTGTCCTCGGGGCCGTCGCGGCCGCAGTCCGCGAGAAGGCTGGAGAAGGGCCCCGCCGACCGAGGGCGCATCGCGCCCCGCGACGCGCGATGCTCCCCGCGCCCCTGCGCCGGGCGGGAGTGCATTCCCTTAAGGGTTGCGAATCTCTCCAGATCTAACATGAGATACCTTTACGTATCACTTTTCATGGAGCGGCCTGCGCGGGCCACAGTAACTCCCATCCCGCCGCGCGACGGGCCACACTAACACCCAACGGGCCACACTAACACCCAACGGGCCACAGTAACACCCGGTCGCGGGGGAGGGGGGCCGTCGCGGCCGCAGTCCGCGAGGAGGCTGGAGAGGGGCGGCCGCTCCGGCCCAGGCCGCGACGCGCGGAGAGCGCCAGGGACCGACCGAGGGGCCACGAAAGGCAGTTGGGAAGCGCTGCCTGGGAGGGGGGGGGGGGGAACAGGCCGAGGCACAACATCCGATTCGAATGGAGGCTGGCAGGCAGGATAAGGGCACGGGCTGGATTCCCAACGCAATGGTCCAGCTCACGTGCGCACAGGCCGAGGACCACTGCGGGGCGACGAGATGGGGGTAGGGGGAGAGAAAGGCTGTTGGGCAACGCGTACTGGGGTGGGCGGGCGATGGATGGGGGTGGGGAGAAAGGTGCCCTCCTCGGGCCCCAGAGGCCCCCCTTCTGTGCCCTGAAGGGCCACTTCAGGGGCCCCTCTCTGCAGCCCTCGCTGCCCCCCCCCCGTGATCTTCCCCCGTTACGCGTCCTCCAAGCCAGGCGCACGTTGATGGCCCCGGGAACTCCCCGTCCCTGGTCCTCCGAGTGGGACGGGCTCGGCGCCCAACGCTCGCTTGGGGATGCGGTCGAAGCCTCCCATACGAAGGAGTTTTTAGGACGTCCTTGCCTGGCGGCCAGACGAAGAACTTCCCTGAACCCAAATAGGAACCAGGGAAAAGCCTCAGACGAAACCTTATGGGGCCGCTTCCGAACCAAATGTGTTTCTGCGCTCACATCCTCCTCTTCCTCAAGCTCATTTCTTCCTCACATACTCCTGCTTCGGCCCTCACACCTTCCTGCTCAGCGCTCACATATTATAGCTCCGTCTGCTCCAGCGCTCACGTCTTCCTGCTCGCATACTCAGACTCACTCATACGCAGACTTACTCACATCCAGACTAACTCACATGCTGCTCTTCACCTATTCAATCATACTCAGACTTACTCGCACTCGGACTCACTCGTGCCTTACTCACACTGTGACCCAGACTCACTCACAATCAGCCTCACTCGCACTTGGACTCGCGACGCACTCGCACTCAGAGTCGCAGAGTGTGCGGATGTCTCAACCGACTCGTTGGTTCAAGGTTGTTGCACGGCCCCGTTCGAGCCCAGAGTGTGAGGATGTCTCAGACGCTTTGCTGGATTCGAAACTCCAAGGGGATCCGCCAAGGGTGGTTGCACGGCCCCGTTCGCGCCCAGATTGTTGGGCGGTCTCGGGCGGTTTGCCCTTGTGGTTGCTTGGACTTGCTTGCTTTCAAAACAGATCGTGAAGATGTCTCAGCCGCTCTGCTGGTTTCAGCACCTACATGGGGGAGCCGCCAAGGGTGGTTGCACGGCCCCGCTCGCGCCCAGAACGTGGCGATGTCTCACACGGTTTCGCTGTTGCGTTGCTTGAACTTGTCCCAGGGGAAGCCGCCTGGGGTGGTTGCACGCCCTCGTTCGTGTCCAGTTTGTAGAGATGTCTCAAACAGTTCGCCGATGTGGTTGATTGGACTTGCCTGCTTTCGAAGCAGGTTGTGAGGATGTCTCAGCCGATCTGCTGGCCTCAGCACCCCAAACGGGGAGCTGCCAGGGGTGTTTGCTCGGCCCCGTTCGCGCCCAGATTGCGGGGATACCTCATGCAGCTTGCATCTCTGGTTGCTTGAACCTGTATGCCTTCAGAGCAGCTTGTGGGGATGCCTCCGCCGACAGGGGTGGTCGCGCGGCCCCGCTCGCGACCAGTTTGTGGGGGTGTCTCAA